GGGGCGCGCTGCCGTCGGGTGGGCCCCCGGCTCTGGAGCGCGGGGAGCAGTGTTTCAGGGCGTCGAGGGGGTATCACAGCCCGCTCTTCTTCCCTTTTGCCTATCCCTTCCCTCCCCGCCGCTAGGCATCCCCGACTCCCACCCCTCTCCCGTGTCCGGGCTTGTTTGACCAGGAGGGCAGTGGAGTGTGTGTGCGGCCTGCGCGGGATGAGTCCGGCTTCCTCGGAGCGCCAGCCATTGTGCTGCCTGGAGGAGCCTTTCTTTACCCCACCGGACCGGGGGGAGGAGGGAGATCTGAGATGGAGGTGAATGGAGCAGCGGGAGGAGGGGGAGGGTAGCAAGCAGAACCGCGAAGGGGTTGCTGATCCATATGCAACGAAATACCCTTTCTGTCAAAATGTGCACAAACATGCACGCTGGCTGGGTTCCGCGGAGGAGCAGTGGGAAATCTGAAGGTGGATCAGTGCAGGGCAGGTTTTAGGGACGGACATGGGGGACGACGAGGCACGGAATCAATTGATCTATGGAGCAAGTGATGGGAAGGAGGAGATGGAATGGGGCTTGTGTGGAGGTGCCCAGGCCCAGCGGGGTTAGCGTGGTGAGATCTCCACCGCTCCGCTCCACTCGGGTCAGCTCAGCAAAGCAGGGACTGAGCATTTGTACCGCAGCCCCGAGCTGCAGCCAGTGCATCATTGTGCTGCAGGGAGACGTTTCCGCGTTTCCTACTGGGTCTCTGTTAAGCCCCGTGAGTGTCTTTTCTTTTCCAAATTACACCATCTATTGGGAGTGAAAATAAATGGAATAGATTGTAGGACAATCCAACTATAGTCCTGCGCTCTGTTCTGTGGTAAAGAGAGAAAGAAAAGGCGACCCTCCCATGGTTCCTTCTTTCTGCCATTTTCATGTATGTATGTATTTATTTTTAATCTTGGAAGTCTAAGGGTAATAAACTATCACTTGTATTAATCCTTCTTTAAGGAAAGGAGGGCTCCCAGATGAGCTATGAATGAGGACGGGGCAAGCTTGCCAGGATGGAAGATAAGGTTGTTTCAGACATTTTAACTGAAGGATGAAAGCACTCCGCGAAGAGGGGAGGGTGAAAGAAAGTGGGCTAAAGGAAGGAAGGCAGGGTCACCATCTAAGGACGCGCTGCCAGCCCCAATCCACAGAGCCCTCCTGGAGGCTATAGTGGGGCCAGTCAGCAGGCCTGACTCTCATCTCCTGTGCCACAGCCTGGGGTCTTTCCACAAATGCTGGGTTCAGTTTGGATGTTGAGTGACTTTAGTTTCCCAGCACTGGCTTTCACTTTAACTTCATCTCCAGATTGTCATTCATGCAGCACTTCTTGGCTCTTGGGTAATGAGTTGACAAAAAACAATCAGTCTATATTATGGACTGTTTCAAATGAGCATATGTCTGAACCCTAGAGCTGTGATATTCATTTTGTCTTTTATAATTTTCTAGATGAATCCATTTTCTCTACAGTCTGCCCGGGCTGAGGATAGGTGCTTTCAGCACCTCTTCCTGTTGCCAACACTCAAAACTCAGTCTTAGTCCTAGATTCTAGTTGGATTGGCCTCTTGTTGCTGGTTAATCCTATAGACTGTGTCATTTCAAATCAGAAACCCCACTGGTGTCACCACCTGGTTCTCCCCTGTCATTCCCAGAGAAAAGTACAAATTTAAAGGCAGTGTAAATACCTGCAACACTATCTGATTAGCTTTCATGTCTCTGTAAAATGGGACCCACGATCCAGGAACCTTTGAACAAATGAATTGAAAAAAAAAAGCCTTAGTAAAAAAGATGCTAAAATTCTTTCAGCATAGTTCTCTTGTTTGATAAGCATATTGAAGCATTGCACAGAGAATATCATGGCAGGGATAATTTTGCTTTTACCTGAAGCACTCCCACATCACATTTCTTTTTTTCTTTTTCTTTTCTTTTCTTTTTTTTTTTTTTTTTTTTTGAGATGGAGTTTCACTCTTGTTGCCCAGGCTGGAGTGCAATGGCGTGATCTCCGCTCACTGCAACCTCCGCCTCTTGGGCTCAAGCTGTTCTCTTGCCTCAGCCTCCCAAGTAGCTGGGATTACAGGCACCTGCCACCACGCCTGGCTAATTTTTTTTTTTTTGTATTTTTAGTAGAGATGGGGTTTCACCGTGTTGGCCAGGCTGGTCTTGAACTCCTGACCTCAGGTGATCCACGCACCTCGGCCTCCCAAAGTGCTGGGATTTCAGGCATGAGTCACCGTGCCCAGCCTCCGCATCACATTTCTATGTAAGTAAGCTATCCTGGTTTTCCTAGAATTGTTTTTTACTTTTTTTTTTTTTTTAAAGATAGGGTCTCACTTTGTCACCCAGGCTGGCATACAGTGGTGTGATCATAGCTCACTATAGCCTCACACTCATGGTCTCAACCAATCCTCCTGCCTCACCCTCTCCAGTTGCTGGGATTACAGGTGTGAGCCACCGTGCCCAGCTTTGTTTTTCCTAGAATGATTGATATTTATTGGATGCTTTCTATATTCCACACATTGTAGTTATCACTTCAAAGATGATCTCATTTAGTCCAAAAAGTAATCTTCAAGGGAAGCACTGTTTTAAACTCCATTTTATAGATGATGAAATTGAGGCACAGTGAGGCTGATAACTTGCCCAAAGTCTCCCAGTTAGGAGTGATAGGACCAGGACAGGAACCCGAAGCCTATGCTCTTAACCATCACAGAGTACTGCCTTAATCAACACAAATTCCTGGGCTGTAAAACCTTTTGTACTCTCTACCTCATTCTGCCATCTTTTCTAATCTCACTTTTTTGTTGCTCAGAGATTCTTAATCTTTTTTGCACTATGAACTCCTTTGGTGGTATGGAGAAGTCTATGGGCTCCTTCTCAAAATAATGTTTTTAAATGCATAAAATAAAATACTTAGTCTTGTAAAGGAAACCAATTTCACTGAAATATAGTTACCTTCAAAGAGCCCGCAGAGGTCTATGTACTGAAGATGAAGAACCCCTGATGGGCAATTACTTGTGTTTGCTTTAGAGCTATGTTGTCCATTGCGGTAGCCACAGGCCACATTTGGCTGTTGAGCACTTGAAATGTGGCTAGTCCAAAGCGAGATGTACTGTAAATGGAAAATATACACTGGATTCCAAAGGACTTAGTATAAAAAAGAATAAAAACCACCTCATTAGTTTTTTTGTGGATTACATTTTGAAATGGTAACACTTTGGATATATTGGATTAAATAAACATATTATTTCAATCAATATGATTAAATTATTGATTTATTACAATTAACTCCTAAATATGTTAACTCTGTACCAACACCTTCCTTAAAACAAATGAGGAAATCAGGCCCAACGATGCTTGTCACTTAGCAAGCCACTAGCAGATCTGTTGGCTCTTGAGCCTGCCTTCTTTCCAAGATATGGTGCTACTTGTATTTATTTTTGTATTCAAAGGTCCTATCATGTTGCCTTTGCAAACAGTAAATGCTCTGAATATGTTTTAAAGCAGTGATAATCAACTTAATCCCAGCAAAATCCTGGTGCAAACTGGTAGTGTCCTTGTCTGGCATGTCCTTTGCTTTGCTTATTTAGAGTTTTAGTTTTGTAGGTAGAGATGGAGAATGGGCACTCCTGGGGCAAAATCTATGAATTTTGCTGTCTGTCTGGTTCTCCTCAGGAAGCGCCTCCAATTTGAGCACCTAACTATATCAATAACCCAATAGACCGAACAGAAAAGCTTGGTTGCCTTTCTGTTGAGCATGCAGGGGAGGGTATGATAGTCAGCAATGCTTGTGCTGCCTGAAATTGAAAATGGAAAACTGTATGTGGGAGACAGATAATTTTTTCAATGAGCACACATTGACTGACTGCCTAGCCACAGGGTAGGCAGTGTATATTTGGAGCCAGGGAAGATATCCAGAGGATTTCTGTGTCCTCGAGGAATTTAAGTTAAAATTGAATGGGGCCCAGATGTACACACAGATGGATAAATCACAGTTGGAAGCGGTGTATGAAGAGGGCGCGATGAGGGGTAGAGGTCCCACAGTTGGTGGGAACTGAAGGGAGGTCTGTGTGTGCAGCGTTTCAGGGTGCAGTGCTCAAGATGGTTATGGAGTATGGCTTTGGAGCACATGGGTAGTTGGGTCTGTTTCTTACAGGATACAGCATAATAGATCATTTAGTCTATTCCTCTGCTCCTAGGCATATGATCTATGTGTGGGGAAGCCTCGGGTGCTTGTCTGGGCACGGTGGCTCATGCCTGTAATGCCAGCACTTTGGGAGGCTGAGGCTGGTGGATCACCTGAGGTCAGGGGTTCGAGACCAGCCTGGCCAACATGGTGAACCCATCTCTACTAATAATACAAAAATTAGCTCGGTGTGGTGGCACACGCCTGTGATCCCAGCTACTTGGGAGGCTGAGGCACGGGGATTGGTTGAACCCAGAGGTGTAGGTTGCAGTGAGCTGAGATCACACCACTGCACTCCAGCCTGGGCGACAGAGTGAAACTATGTCTCAAAAACAAAACAAAACAAAACAAAACAAAAACAATGCAGGCACTTATTGGAAAGTCTCTACTGATGTTGTATTAGTTTTTTTTTTTAAATAAAAAATAGAGATGGGACCTCACTATGTTGCCCAGGCTGGTCTTGAACTCCTGAGTGAGCTCAAATGATCCTCACACCTCAGCCTCCCAAAGTGCTGGGGTTACAGGCGTGAACCACCACACCCAGCCAATGTTTTATCAGTTTCTATTATTTATTGATAAGGGTAGTAATATCTAGGTACATGAACCCTTATCCAAAACCCCTGGGGCCAGGCACTTGGAATTCAGATTATTTCAGATTTTGGAAGGTAGTAATAGGGTGTACATTCTGCATTTCATCCAGTGGGATCTGGGATAGCAATCTTTGTAATTAAAAAATTAATATTTCTGCAGCAAAACACACGAAATGGGATCAATTAAAGCCACGAGCAGCTTTATATTCATGTTGGTCATGTTTAGTTGCCAGATGAGTTTAGATCATGTCATATTTTGCTGCCAAAATGGAGAATTTTCAGCTTTCAGATCACGTAGTTAAGGATGTGGGTCTGTGGTAATAGTAACAGTAATAATAATACTA